TATTCCTCACAGTTGTTTGATTACTTCAGCTAGACATTTATCCTATACATCTCAAAAACATTACTTAATTTGACAAGCTCTTTGTCATTGTGCATAAAGGCTTCAGGGGGAGAATGGTAAAGTGTTACGTGACACATTCTGAAGCAACCTTACTTTTCCATCAAATTAGAATATAAATTAGAAATCTGAAAAACATGCAGTGGAAAACAAAAGTTATTCAAACCTGTTTGACCAATTTATTTTAAAGAATGTTGAACACTAATAAATGTCATAGCATTAGCTATAACTTTAGTGAAATGAATATGACCTTTCCAACTTAACCCAATAATCTGATAATTCTACAATTAACTTCATTTCTTCATAATATAAAAAAGCGTGTTTTTGGAGAAATTGCATTAAACTAAAGGAAAGGCATGCAAATGCTTCTTTTCATGGGTAATATTTTTTTTCTCTAACAGGCGAGAAAAAAAAATCTGTTACTAAATCACAGTCTGTTTTAGAAGTGCATACAGAATATACAAACATATAGATACGCATTTAGAATTTATAGACTTATAAGTGCATAAGGAAAATGAAAACTTGAAGCTTTGCATATAAGTTGGGTCATCATTAACAAGTCATTTACCCTCTCTCATTCTGAGTTACATCATTTATAAACAAAGGTAATCCTTATACTCCCTAACAAAGTTACTTTGAAGAATGTATGCTGTAAATCTAATATATGGGACACATGTGAATATGAAATATTATTTTATGGTTGGGCAGTTGTGACTGAGAATGTGTCTTTGAGAATCCATGGAATAGGAGTTAGGAACAACCATAGAAAGATTGAGTGGGGTGGGGGGAGGAGACAGAACCTTAATTGCACATACTCTAAATGGTCAAAATCATCTGGTCTTATTAAGTCTAATTGGTGAGTTAGTTCAACCATCTGAAAAACTTTGTAGGATCATAGGACCATACATTTAGAGCTGGTGAAGACATGAGAAGGTCATCTAATTTAACCCTGTCATTTTTAGAAATGCAGAAACTGAAGCCCAGAGAAGTTGTGATTTGTCTAAGGTCGTCCAGATCAGTAGGTGTGAGGACTGAGATTTGAGCCCAGATACTACAACTCTAAATCCAGTTGTTCTCCACTGCCCCTTGACTTTATCCAAAGCAAGCATCTATCTTTTATCTACATGGTGACTTCTTTTCACTGGAAAACTGTGATAGTAATTTTATAAAAGGGTACTCGTGTATATTATTTAATTTTTTTTCTACAAGAAAAGTTTTCTTTTCAGCTGTTTGTTCATTTATTTTTCATCTGGGCCTAAAATTTCACTGATAGGGAATTCCCAGTAAGGAACCCCTCCCCCCAAACAATGTCTAGTAGCAGATACTCTGCAATTCACCTTTAGAGTTATTTGGAGCATGGAGAGATTAAGTGGCTTGTTCAGAGTCACACAATAACTGTGTGTCAGAAGTGGAACTTAGACCCACGTCTTCCTTACTCTAAGGCTGGAACTTTAACCACTATGTAATAATACCTCATCTTTCAGATACTAATTAGCATATTAAGAATGATCAGATTCAGCCTTGGGTTAGTACTTTGAGTGCGAGATACACACACACACACACACACACACACACACACACACACACACATATGTGTGTGTGTGTGTGTGTGTGTGTGTGTTGTGGTTGTTTTTTTTGTGAGGCAATTGGTGTTAAGCAACTTGCCCAGAGTCACACAGCTAGTGAGTGTTATGTGTCTGAGGCTTGATTTAAACTCAGGTCCTCCTCACTCTAGGGCTGGTACCTATCCACTGTGCCACCTAGCTGCCCCTGAGTGCTGTATTCTTCATGTCAAGAAAGGATGAATGCAAAGTATTTAAGTGGTTACTATGTGCCAAGCACTGGAGTTAAATAATACAAAAATAAGAGCATTCTAGCCTCAAAGAGCTTGCACTCATTAGGGGGAAACATTAGATATTAATGAGTGATGGATCAACGAGGATTGTTTTGGTTTGGGAAGTCAAAAGGATAGTGAAAATCAATTGATACACCCTTTCCAGAAGAAGTAATAATATTGTTTTGATTACTATTTGCGGAGCAAAAGGTTTAAAGATAAGAATCGAGTATGTACTTGGAAAGTAAGGCAGACATCAAGGAGGTGAAGAGGTTAGATAGTTGGATGGAAAAAAAAAGCATGGTGTGGGGTGTGGAGTGGCTAGGCATATGCTGTGACTGAGTCATGAATCAGAGCAGTTTAGAAAGCTGAATGGATTAAGTAGTCAGTGAATGGTTTCTGGAGCAATGGCCAGAAGGAGTAATAAGCAATGGCCAGTGGCAAGGAGATGGTCAGGCTAAATGGTAAGATGGAGTGGAAAGCAAAGAACTAAATACAGTTTTTATAATCACTTGAATAACTTATGCTTATCTTTCCTTGGACTTGCTATCTGGAACATGGTCCTCTAAGACTTAGCGTTGGGGTAAGAAGGGTGTACCTTACAGATCAGTCAGTCTAATTCCGTCATTTTACAAATGAGGAAACAAGGCCCCAAGAATTGAAGTAGAGCAGAGCTAGAATTTTAATTGAGAATGAAAAAAAAAATCTAGTTAGCCACTTAACTCAAAATCCAGTGCTCTTTCTAGCCTATCATTATACTGTGAATGGGGACCTTTTCCATGGGAGGATTGGATGTGAAACATTCCAGCTAATTCAAATTTGTTGCACTGAAATGCAGGTCTACATTTTCAAGTCAATTCAATTCATGAAATAGTTATCAAATGTCTATTTTGAGGAAGGCTCTGGGGATTCAGCAATCTATTGGGTTTTGAGTAAGTGCTGATTTAATATTTTTTGTCATGTATGGGCTTTGGGATTCCCAGTAATGTACATATAACATATAAATATGAATGACTCTTATAGATCATATCTCCTCAGTAAAAGATTGTAATTCCCAGATAAAATGTAAATGTCAAGTATATGTTTATTTAGTAAATGGAAAGTCTTTAAGGTCTCTTTAGTTACTGTTACCAATTCAAATATGGATCATCTTAGGAGTGATGAAAAAGTAGAAAAGCAGAAGTTGTAGCAGTCAACTTTACTTGAGTTACTGACCCTTGGTAACAGTAGAAATATCTAAGATGTTTCCCAGTTGACTATGTTTAGTAGTTATATCTGATCCTTCTCCCTTCCAATCCCTTTTTCTAAGAAAGAAAGCCAATAAGTTAGAGTTCAGAACTATTTTCTTGCCCAAAGAAGTTTCCTTTCAGATATATCTGAGTAGGAGAATCTATTCTTGTATTGATTAGATTCTTACACTTTGAAGGAAAGGCATTTCTATCTAATGCATTCAGATTTTTCTTTTTATGAATGCAGACTCCAGATTCAGAAAGTGTCAGATGCCCGTAGGGGAAAAAATATTTCTTTGCTCTAAAAGTGTTTCTTGTCTCCCCTGGGCTTCAGGATAGATATTAAATGCTTCTATGTTGTCCATCTCCCTCTTGGCATTTCCCTTTCTCCTAAGAGAGGATCCTTCAAGGTATCTTGACCAAGGTATGTGAACAAGAGGGTCACATTCATCCCCCTTATGGGGCATGCTTTAAAAAAACTAGAGCCAAAGAATACTATGTGAAAACTGCCAACTGATTAAGCCATTTGAGATTCTTTATTTTATTCCTTTTCATAAAAATTGTTGGCAGAGGAAGGGGAAGGGAATTAAAAAGGCAAGCTGAGGAACTATTCTCTAGAAAACCATGATGGTGGCAATTTGTGGCCAGGACTTTCAGCATCTGGAAAAATGTCAAGAAAGATAACTTTTTATCAAAAGGCAAATTAGTTGTTAAAGCTAGTGATAATTGGCAACCAAGGTGTTTCATTATGAAATAGATTTTTTTTTAACAATCTGTAGTTAGTTACTAAGAAAACACCAACCAGAAGAAAATGTTTCAGTGCTGTGAGTTCTATTATCTCATCCTGCTTTTGGCAAGAACAGAGTAAACTTCATCCCTGTTGAAAAACATTCATGTTTTTAGAACCTAGAATCTATGCCTGCATTGATTAGCTAGGTAACTTTTCTTAATCAGTTTGAGCCTTAGTGATCAGTTGATTCAATAATAATTGCCCTAAAACTATAAATCTTATATTTTTTGCAACTTGAAATTTTTATGTCTAAATTAGCCCTCAAAAGGGTTACTTTTTTTTCGAAACTAGAGCTCAAAGCAAACCTTAGGAAGCACATGACTTGCAGCCATAGAAATGTGGATGAAGCAATGTGAAATGTGGTAATTTGTCTCTATATGTGAATGCACCTGCTGATTCTTTCAAGGAAAGGAAAAAATAACCCTGAAGACTATGTATAGTACAGCCTTACTGTTTATGAACCTCTGTAATGGTCAATAGCATGAGAAAAGTTTCTATAGACATACAACACATAGGGAGCCCCCTGGTAGTTTACATGCTTTGATATTGTTTGCCATTCTAACATTTTCCTAGCTGGATAAGAAAATTGATATGATTAGCTAGTCCTTATCTTTTCTGGAATGAAACCAAGAAGTGTTCTCTCTATAGTACTTGTTTTAAGTTGTATTCATCATATTGACCCACCAGTTTTATGGGGATCTATGGGGAAAAATACTTTTTTTCTGGGCTTATTTTAAGGAACTCTTTCCCCCCAATCTGAAAATACGCAATTTTAAAGCATACTCTAGATTTAGTGGGTCACAGTCATGTGGAAGCATGAGTTATCAGTTCTAGGAATCTAGCATGACTTTTTTTTATCGTCATTCAAAATACAAGCGGGTTTTCCCTCTGCCTAGCAAAGATTCAGATGGGGTTTACAGTAGAAAATAATGAGTCCTTCTGCTGTAGCATGTCACAAGGGAAGATAGGACAATGCTGTAGTTGTGCTGACTGCTGTGCCTTGCTTGCTGGGTAGCATGTACTCTCAGATGTCTGACAGCTCATGTGGGCTCACTAGAGACCTCTGTCATTCTGTTCTTCCTCTCTGCAGGCAATGGTTGAGACAGTTAACAACCTGCTCCAGCCACAGGCTTTGAATGCATGGCGGGACCTCACAACAAGTGATCAGCTACGTGCAGCCACCATGTTACTTGACACTGTGGAGGAAAGTGCTTTTGTGTTGGCCGATAACCTTTTGAAGACAGACATAGTCAGGGAAAACACAAACAATATTCGTAAGTGATCCTCATTATCAGGAAGAGCCAATTTCTTCCTCCTCCTGGGAAAGGGAGGAAAAAAAGATATCCCATAGGCTTGCCAACAGGTGTTTTTTTCCATTGGTTTTATATGGTTGATTTTCTATGGTTGGTGGTGATTGCTTATTACTATTCATAGGAAAAAAATACTTTCATTTTCAGATAAAGAATCTTCAAGTCATTCTGAAATTGGCATGGTGGAATAAGGTCAATCTCAAGTGAAGGAACTTAATTCTGTTTTATAGATATGGTAGTAAGACATTTCTTCCTTTTTTAGAACAGAAGTTTGGTTGGTTTTTATTAGATGAGAACTGGCATTTCTTGAAATTGACTCAAAATATAGGCATTAACCTTATAAAGAAAGCCAATAAAATTATATAGATTTTGTGTGGTATTTTAATCACAAAAAAAATTGAGGCTTTTAATTGTTTATGGAGAGATAGATAACAATTTTATTTTAGATAATTTAAGTTGATTTTAGCTTTTTAGATTAAAATATAAAATGAAAGTATGCCTTTCAACAAGGCAGTTATAATTTATAGGTTATTTTTTGTTTGACTTATTTCTCAAACAGAAATATGTTTAGATTATTTTTCTAGACAGTGGCAAAAAAAATGCAATTTAAAAAAAAAAATTCTTTCCAGAGTGCATTTTATCATTGATGTTCTTGAATTCTTGTTAACATTATGCATTTGTTTGATATCATAGACTTTTATTGCTTTTCTAAAAATTATATTTGAGTATGAATGAGGGCAAGTGCTTTGTAAATAAATAAAAGCCATTGGAGAGTTTTCTAGATTATATATAAATTCTCATAATTCCTTTATTTATATCTTTAAAGCATTTTAGATTATTTCAGCAAATATTTCTTTAAGGTAATTTTAAAAATACAGTTTCTCAGTGTATATTGAGCTTGTCCTGATGCTTTCCTGTTCTTAACAGAATTGGAAGTTGCAAGGCTGAGTACAGAAGGGAATTTAGAAGATCTAAAATTTCCAGAAAATATGGGCCATGGAAGTACTATTCAGCTTTCTGCAAATACCCTGAAACAAAATGGCCGAAATGGTAGGTTAGCTTTTTTTTTTTTAAGATGTTTGGAATTAATTTTCTCATCATTACTAGTTAATTCATTTATTCCTTACTCAACCTGTCTCTATAGTCTGGCTACCTTTTCACTCTTACTTTCTCACTACTCCCCAAAACTTAACTATTATCTCAGTCAAGCCAGTCTCACTGTCCTGTGAATGAATGAAGTAAAAATTTTTTTTTAAAAAAGGATTTATTAAGCATTTACTACATACCAGGCACTGTGATAAGTTCTGGGAATACAATTAAAGTAAGTCAATCAGTTCCCTCAGGCATATATTCTAGTAAAAGGAGACAACACATATAAGAAAGGGGTCATCAGGGAAGGCAGTTTGGGGAGTAAGAGAGGTGGTGAATTGATCTATACAACAACCAATTGACATATCCTTTCCTGAAACCATGGTGACATCGTTTTAATTACTATTCTAAGAGCAGGAAGTAAAGGGAGGCTAACACTGTGGTAACAGAGAAGATGGCAAAATTCCTTCAGGTAGACAGCTGAATGGGGTGTGAATCATATCGTGGTCTGGGGACAACTAGATAGAATAGGCTCCGTAGGTTTGCATTAACCTACTAACTAATCAGGACAGCACAGTACCAAGGCAACAAGTCCAGGGCTGAGTGGTAGACTAAGTGCCCCAAGTCCTGGACCATGAATGATTTTTGAAAGTCTGTTCCCAAAGAGGAAGATAAGTAGGACACAACAGGGCAGATGGCAAGATGGCCATCTGAAAATACCATGTTCCTTCCCCTATCCCTATGCATTCTGCCCCAACCCCTCTGCCTATTTACTCTATCATCTTTTTCAAACTCTTATTCCTCCTTGAAACTCTTTTTACTTATTCCAGGCCTTTTGGCTAAATGTAATTTTTAATTTTTCAACACAATATAGTATTTAATTTAATGCTGTTTCATAATAACTAATTTTTAAATTGTGTTACTTTTAAGGTACTTAATAAATGCTTATTGATTAATAGATTGGTCATGTTTTGTGGGGATACACAGTGGTCTTGATTAGTTCCATATCCAAATCTAGATGACCTTTTCTCTCCCCTCTTTTCTTCCTTTTCTTTTCTCTCCTCCTTTTTTCTAACTTACACTTTTGTGAGGATATCTCTATTTATAGGAAATACTACTCTGAGTATATTTTGTTGCACTTATATATTTGTGTTCTTCTACTTATTATCTCAGCCAGGATGATTAATAATACCTCCTATCTATTAGGTATACTTCTATACATAGATATAGATGTCTTGTATGTGTATAATTGTTTGCATATTGTGTCCTCCATTAGAATGTGAGCTCCTTGAGAAGAGGGACCATATTTTTGCCTTTCTTTGTACCCCCAATGTTTAGAATGAAGCCTGGCACATAGTACTTGATAAAGGTTACTGATTGACAGATTGGAGAAGAGTATTGTGTCTAAGATCAATGAAATAGTCACCTATAGAATGGAATATAGGCAAAACTTCATTGCCAAGGAATATCATTACTAATAAGCAAAAAGATTATAATATTCCCACCAGTGTTTTGTCACTTAGGTCACAGTGATTGCCCTACCCAAAATACTCACGTGCAGCCAATTATTTTCTAGTTTCTATAGATGTAATAGGTAGCATATATAAAAATCATTCAATTCTGTGATGTCTGTATTGAAGTCAGGGCTGGGCTTATCCTATTTCTACCCAACTCATGTAACTGAGACACTTAAAACTTTCTAACCTTCCTATGCAACCCACAAAACAATAAGCCATTTTTAAAAAATGATTTAAAAGCTTAGAGGGAAAGAGCTAGGGTAATTTGTACGTAATGTGAACTTTAAAATTTAATGAATGTGAAGAACTGCTATGAATTTGGCCAGAGTGTTTGAATGATTTGATAAATTTGATCAATCTATAGGAGTAAGGATTTAGCTTTGGAGGGAAGCTAAAAGGTGCATGGTACAGGAGAAAGAATACATTGGCTCTGAAATCAGAGGACTTGAATTCAAATCCTACCTATGGTGATTGCTCCCTAAGTGATGTGAGCCACTGGCTTCATGTCTCTGGGCTTCAGTTTCCTGTTCTGTAAAATTAGAAGCCTCTGAGATCTCTTCCGTCTTTTAGATCTATGTGCCCGTGATCTCAGACCACCTAGGCCAGTGACTTCATTTTGCAAATAGGGTAACTGAGGCCTAGAGAGATGAAGTGAATTGCTCAACATCATACTGGTTGTGTGACAGGTCTGGAATTTGAGCCAAGATCCTCAGAATCCCTTGTCCATCACTCTCCATCATGTAAACTATTTCTCTTTCTTGCTCCCTTTTGCATTTTATTTACATTGATTTTGGATGTCCATGGAATATATTTCCATTTTAACAAAACATGTCTTATTTATTATAGTACATATTTAAAATAAACTATTTTGCTTCATTTAGGGAAAAAATGTTCTCTTTGACCATAAGTTCTTTCAAAACAAAAGTCTTGTCAAAATTTTATGCAGTATTTTAAAGTTTAAATGCTAACCAATTCCCCCCCCCCAAAAAAAAAAAACCAACAACTATTAATGTTTCTGTTGTCCTTACTTTCCAAATGTTTATGTCCAACTTTTTGGTATCTGCACCAAAAGCAGCTGCAATGTTGTCTTTGGACCCAAGCTATATTTCAGTTTGGGGTGGGAAAGGCTCTTTTAAAAAATGTATTTGAACATTTAAAATATCTTGACTAAATTGTCAGATTTTATCAGTAAAAGAACTTATGCTCTATCTCCAGAATGGAATTAAAAACTAAAGCTAACTTATCTCTCAAGAAGAATCATAGACTTATAGATTTAGTGCTAGAAGGAACCCCCTCATTTTACAAATGAAGAAACTTAGGGAGCTTAAGTGACTTGCCCAGGGTAACACAGGTAGTAAATATATGAGGCAGGATTTGAACCCTCAACTTCCCAACTCCAAGTCCACGCGAATGAATTCCAGACGTAGTGATATGCCTGAGGTATAGACAGGGCTTCCATTTAGCCACTTTACTTTTTGTTACTTTAGTGATTTAACGCTGCCTGATAAGCATGTGGGAAAGACAAAAAAGGTAAATAGCCAGCATACCTGCCTATATGGAACAGTGCCCTAAATGTGTAGGAACTTGGTGTTTGTTGAATTGAACTGCTGTTTTTAAAATGTCTTTACCTTTTTATTGGACATATTCTACTCTCAATGTACAGTGTGGTCTGTATCACAACATTGGAAATTTAATTCAAAAAATATCCAACCAGCATTGTGCTTTAAGAGAGAACAGACTTGGTATTTCAAGTTAAGTAATCATTTCAGATAGATTACATTACAAGTGCAGTTATTACTCATTTTTCCCCCGACATGCCAACATGTACTATACATTTTTAAGCAGTTGTGTACCTGCGAATATTTTCTTTCTTAAATAGTGACTTATTGGAAAAGAATTATTACTATTTCCACATGCCTTTTGCCAGTGACGCAGTGTAGTGCAAAATGAGAGTTTGTCCTGGGCATTGTCATTAGCTAGATTTGGATCCAGAGGATTAACGTTCAAAGCTCATGCCTGTCAATTACTAGCTCTCTGATACTAGGCAAATCATTTAACATCCCTGGAATTCCTCTGCATGTGTAAAATGGAGAAGATGACTTCTAAGGCTTCTTCTAACTCTAACTCTGTGATCCTGTGTTTGTAGGTGAATAATTAAATGGGCAGTAAAACATTTTGTGATACTAGTTTATTTTACCTTTATGTTAAGATATCAATTATTTTCCCTTGCACAGATTTCCTAAAGTGGTTTGGCAAAAGTGATTGTTAAAAGCTGGAAATTTTTTTTTAAATAGTGTTTAGAGGAAATAACTGAACTTTAAGCAGAATGAAGCCTTTTAAAGTTTGTTTTTAGTTGCAAAAATAATGATAAAATTAAAGATGATTATAATATAATGAAACCTAGTAGAACTAATTAGACCAAATAGATTAATCCACATTTGAACCCAACCTTTGATTCAAATTCACATCTATTTTAGGAGAGATCAGAGTGGCTTTTGTCCTGTATAACAACTTGGGTCCTTATTTGTCCACGGAGAATGCCAGTATGAAGTTGGGAACAGAGGCCATGTCCACCAATCATTCTGTCATCGTCAATTCCCCTGTTATTACAGCAGCAATAAACAAAGAGTTCAGTAATAAAGTTTATTTGGCTGATCCAGTAGTGTTTACTGTTAAGCATATCAAGGTAAGATAATAGCACATGTAAATTTATTTTGATTATCCAGTTTATTCATATTTTTATTTCCCTTACAAAACTAATTTTAAAATTCAGTTTGCTTTTTCAATTTCTTTTATTCTATACTCTTTGACAAATTCAGTAGCTATGGATAATGCTACTGCTGAATTTTTTTTCCCTTAAGGTGTTTATTTTGGGGAGGACATGTTTCTTTTACATTTTGATCAGAATGTAAGTTGAGTGTTAATTTGGCTAATAAATTTTTTAGAGAAAAAGCTAAAAATATGGAAAATGTATAGAAAATTATTTTATTATAATTCTTATGAATGGTGTATGTATATATATATATATACATATATATATATACATATATATATATATGTATATATATATATATATATATATATATATAGAGAGAGAGAGAGAGAGAGAGAGAGAAGGACTTCAGAAAAAGGTCAATTTCTCATGACTGTATGATATTAATACCAAAGTTAATTGCCAAGAGCAATTAATTCTCTATTTTGCACATAAATGAGTGGACATAGTACTAAGACATTAAAATTTCTTTGCGGTTGTAATAAATCAGTAAAATAGATCTAATCTGGTATTAGAAAAATAAATGATCCCATTTACTTGAACTAGATGAATGCCACTTAAAAAAACTACTTCAAACAAAACCAGAATCCTTAGGGTAAGAAGTTGGATTTGGAATATGTCCTCTTAATTTATATCATTTAAAAGTTATTTGCTTGAAAATTTCTTCCTTATAGCAATCTGAGGAAAATTTCAACCCTAACTGTTCATTCTGGAGCTACTCCAAGCGTACAATGACAGGCTATTGGTCAACACAGGGCTGTCGCCTCCTGACAACAAATAAGACGCACACTACATGCTCTTGTAATCACCTAACCAACTTTGCTGTGTTGATGGCCCATGTGGAAGTTAAGGTAAGATACTATAAAACAACAGAATGTTAGGGCTAGAGAGAACATTATAATGCCATCTAATCCAGTATGTATTAAGAGATTTCATCTTAATCACAATACAAGAGTCTATACTATCCTTGATTTTGGCTTCCCAAAGAGGAATCAGGAATGTATCAGTGTGTGATCTACTTTTTCCCACTGTTCTGTTCAGGAATTTCTTTCAGTTGTCTAATCAGTATTCTTCTGCTGATTGTTTGAATAGTCCTATCTCATTCTCTTAATAATAGATCTCATCTCTTCATGAATTAAAAAACTGGTATTGAGGAAGCCGCTTCCCTCTGTTTCTCAAGCACTTTGTTTTCCAGAATAAATACCCCTAGTTTTATAAGCTTTGCCTAAAGAGGTTCTCCACATTTACTATCAGTTTTGTTACTCTCTTCCCTGAATCATCCAACAATATTTTTGTTTATCTAAAGGATCCTTAGGTATGTAAAATAAAAGTGGTATTTTAGTTGTTTTCTGAATGAATAAGGCTGTTAGCAGAAATTATAGGTAAAAGGATATTGAATACCAGCATTATTTAATTTAGAAATTTTTTATTAAAAATTTATACAGTGTAGTGAGTATTTTAAAAGGCTAGTTGTTTTTGCTCAATAGAATTGTTTAATCATTTTGCTCATCAGCATTTTATTCCTGATGATGAGATCAATTTTATAGAATATCAGGCTTAATCTCACAACCTTACTGTGGCATCTCTCTCTACTTCTTTTCAAATATGTCATTCTTTAACTTCTAGACTAAAGTTTGATTTATTTTACAAGAATCATTTGTTATAAAACAAAATGAGGATGAAGGAATATCCATTAGTTAAGATTTCAGAGAATTATTAAAGAATTTTTTAAGAAACTTTGTTTTTTAATGGATTTTTATTGATAACTTTTCTTTTTTATAACAATTGCATTTCCATCTGGATCCCTCTCAGTTATCAAAGTGTATAGTCATTGTTGTCATTTCCTTTGCATAATTCTAAATCATTTTCAAGAAAGTTGTACCAGTTCATAGCTCCATCAACAATTTTAGTGGTCCATCTTTCCAAAACCCCTCCAATGTTCATAATTTCTGTCTTTCGTCATCTTTGCCAATTTTATGATTTTTGGGTGAACCCTCAAGGTTGTTTTGATTTACATTTCTCTTACTCATTGATTTGGAATTTTTAATGGAATTGTTAATAATTTACAATTCTTTTTTTGAGACTTGTTTGTTCTTACTCTGTATTTATCTATTCAAGAATAGGGTTTTGGTCTTAAAATTTTCTATTTGTTGCCTATAAATCTTAGATATCAGACCCCTATCACAGATATTTGATTTTTTTTAAAGTGTTTTTCCCCAGTTGACTATTTCTCTTTTTATCCTAGATAAATTTATTGTACAAATTTGTACAGTTGTACAAATACTGTCCAAGATTTCAATTTCAAAAAATCAAAATAATCTGTTTTATCTTTTACAATTGGTTTCTTCTTTTGGTTAAGAATTTACCCTTTACTCATAGCTATTAAAGTCACATGACCTGCATCTCTACAATTTTTTTTAGGATGTATTTTTTAAAATTTAGAACCTTGTTCAAAACCTCATTTCTGCCAGAAAACTTTCCATTTTCAAAAAAGGTAGTTCTTTCCTAGGTTATTAATATTTAGGAAATATCAACTACTTGATTGTTATACTTCTAATCTTATAGTCGGACCCCTACTTCTTTTTAAATATCATGTTCTCTGACTCCAGACCAAAGTTTGACATATTTTACGGGAATCACTTATTTTAGGGAAAAAAATACAAGTGAGAAAATTATGCAAGTTAAATAAGCTTCCAGTAGGATTCTCAAAATTTGTGGGTTTTTTTATTATTCAACGGACACCTTTTTCTAACAACTTGTTTGTTTCATGTGGCCTATATATTTCCAGGAAGTGTTATGTGTCCTTAGATCATTTAGTCTAATATTTTATTTTACTGATGAAAAAGTTCCGGAATCCTAGAATCACAGAATTGCAGAGCTGGAAGGGACTATAATGCCATCAAGGCTAATCTTCAGGGAAACAAGAATATATACCAAACAATCTAGCCACTGTCTGGAGACCTTCAGTGAGGAGAAACCTTCTACTTTGTGGGCAGCCCATTCTCCTTTTTTGATAGCTCTAATTGTTAGGATGTTTTTTTTCTTATGTCAAGTGTCTTGGTAGCTTCTGCTCTTTGATCCTAGTTTCATTGCTGGTGCCAAGCAGAAGCAAGACTAATCCTGCTTCCACGTGCTAGCCCTTTAAATACTTCAGAACAATAACATTGTCTCTTCCAGGACCCTCCATTTTGAGGGAGTGGCCAAGTCAACTATGTTTACTCCTTTACTCTTCTCCCAGATGTGCACCTGACTTCTAGAATTCTTCTTCCTCCCTTCCTACATCACCCCTACCTTTCCTTTTCAACTCCTATTTATGCTTTATTTTCCCCCATTAGAATGTAAACTTTTTTAGGGTAAGAACTGCCTTTCTGTCTTGTTTGTATTTGTATTCTCTGTGCCTGGAACATAGTAAGCACTCAACAAATGCTATGTCAACTGTGTTACTCATACTGCATGAATTTGAGAACTTTTACCATCCTATTTCCATTATTCTCCTCTGAATGTTCTATAGTTTATTGATGTCTGTCTAAAAAGGTAATACTCAAAACTAAACTATAAATGTGATCTGAGCAGGGCAGACCATATCACTTTCCTAGTTCTGGACCCTGTGAATCTCTTAATTCAAAATAAAATTATGTTTTTTGGGTTTTTTTGCTCAAGCATGATTAACCCCTTTTAACTTTTGCCCTCTAAGCCCCACCCCCCTCCCCAGTCTTTTCTAGATGAAGACCATGTTGTCTAGCCATGACTTCTCCATCTTATACTTGTGAAGTTGTGTGTATGTCTGTATGATTTTTTATCCTAGTAGAATATCTTATTTGTGTCTTTTTTAAGTCTTTTTAGTAGATATGGACAGTAGTCTAACTTGGAAAGATCTTTTAGACTTCTGCCTCTCTCATTCAAACTGTTAGGTATGTCCCCTACATTTACTTCATCTGAAGATTTCCTAAGCATGCCACTCATACCTCTGTCCAAATCACTGAAAACTACAACAAATCTCTGCAGCCTTTCACAGGAGAGCTTCTTCCATATTGACATGTAACCTTTTTTGACTACAAGTAGGTCCCAATGAGTATGAATAATGACTCTTTTGGAATAATTACATATATTAAAATTTCTACTATCATATAGTTACAATTATGTAAACTATGGTTTACTGACTCTTCATGACCTCATTTGGGGTTTTCTTGGCAAAAATATTGAAATGGTTTGCTATTTCCTTCTCCAGCTCATTTTACAGGTGAGGAAACTGGGCAGGGGTCACACAGCTAGTAAGTTTCTGAGGCCAGATTCAAACTCACAAAGATGAGTCTGACTGCAGGCCCAGTGCTGTACCCGCTGTGCCACCTAGCTGCCCATAAGACATAGTGGCTGGTTCTAATCCAATTGGAAATATGCAGTGCAAATTTGAATAATGTGACCACTTTAGGAGATTTCTTATTCACCCTAGTTGAGATTGATCTCTTGTCTTTAGGTAATTCTGAATACATCTAATTCAGCACTTATCTAGCCCATCTTCATGTCTAAAAAAGTAGCATGAGATATTTTGTCAAATGTTTTGCTAAATTCTAGGTAACTTATATTTACATGTTATCCTTATCTATCATTTTTTAACCTTGGAAAATAAGAAATGAATTTAGTCTGGAGTGACTGTTCTTGATGAAACCCTATTGAATTTTTATAATAATAGCTCCCTTTTTGGATTTTTCACTAACCATTTATGCAATACTATGGTCTTGATGGGTTATAAATTATAACAAAAAGGGTCAAATCTGACCTGCTTTTTTTTCCATAGGGACTGCTAGTAAGTTTTGTCTTTTTTTTTTTTTACATTTTAAAATACAATACAACATTATTTAAATGTAAAAAATCACTCCTAGCTTGTGGGTAATACATTTAGCCTACAGATCATAATATGGTTCCCCCTGCTCTAGAATGTTGCTAGGAAGCAGTCAAACTCACAGTCCTATGGTCTGAAGATTGCATTTTCTTCCTTGTTTCAATAGTCAGGACAGCATTTGTTTTCTCCAATTGGGGAACTTCTACTACTCTGTGTAATTCTTTCAGTGATCCCAAGGAGCTGACTTATTTTTTTTTAATACTATGATATTCCTGATAGTGTTTTATGACAACAAACCATAGAATTCCATGGTCTCAGAGCAGATCTAATGGCAAATGTCTTTTGAGGTGGTTCAAATGTGCATAATGGGTGAAAGAAAGCTACAATATATTATTAGAGATGATGTGTTCATAAGAAATGATGTAAAAGACTTAACCAGGGACATATGTGGCCAGAAAAGTTAGAATAAAGGAAAACAAGAAGGCAGTCTGAGTGCTACATTCCTATTTTTGAAACATTAAAATAATAAGATGTATATCTATCATACTTTTATTGGAATATAAAACTTGAATAAGAATCTGGTAGGATAAGAGGGTCTCATGCCAGGCACCATGCCAGTGAAGATAGAGCATTCAGACTGACTAATGAGATCTCAGATCCATTATTATATTAAGGTTAGAAACCAGTTGTGATCATCAGTATATTACTAAATATTCTAACACTGTGTGAGGGAGGTCCTACTTCTGTGAGTTCCCTTATCATATGCAGTTTAATTTTTTTCTTCTTTTCATTAAATGCCGTCCACCATTTATCAGTCTCAAACTTCTATTCACTTGAATTTAGTCAGGTTTCGTTATAGTTGAAGAAGATTCTAAGGCCAAGGAAGAGTTCTCCCTTTTGTTCTATTCTCAAATCTGTGTCTAGGAAACTAAAATGATAAGTTAATTAAATATTTGCAACTACATTGCAAACATTGACTCAGATTTTGGTAGTCAGCACCTACTCAGCTAA